AACAAGATTTATAAATTTAAAATCAGTAATAAAAACTCATTAAATTATTAGAAGTTTCATCCAAAAAGTTTTTAATAAATTAAAAGAAAGTAAAAAAATAACCTAACAAATTCAATTCTTTATGGGCGCCTAAATTAGATTGCCGATAATTTTCACATTTAAAAATAAAAAGAAGTTTTTTTTTTTAAAAAAACTTATCTAATTAATAAAGAAACTCTTCTTTATATATTCTTTTCAATAATAGATTGCCTTCAGAACAAGGTAACATCGGCGATCTCGAAGTTAGTCCCACTGAAAATAATCTACAAGAAAAGTCGCGATAAAGAAAAAAAAAAGCTAAGAGGTGCGAAAAGGAACATGCGATATAACGATATGTGTTCTCAAAACTCTGATTCTGATTCTACAGCTCACCAATCAAGGCCATTTCAACATAACGAAACGAGCATCGTCTTCCGCAGCGCGAGTCAACATCGGAACGTAAGAGAAGAGTCTTATATCGCTATATCGTTTTCTTATATCCTTGCGTGTCTTATATCGCTATATCGTTTTGCGCTCGTTGTCTTTACTCGACGGCTTAAATCAGATTTCTGATGCATCGCCTTGAATGAAAGTCGCTGTATCGTCTTGCCGATATATGCGTTAAATCGAAATGTCTCGATACATCGATTTATAGCCCAGTCCTAGTCTTGAGTAAGTACTTTAATTTGCTACACATAAACTTAATAAGATAATTTGCTAACCCCGTAACGTTGCGTAGGGATAAAATAATTAAAATAAAAACTTTTTTTTAACATTAATTAATCACAAAAGATGTTTTCTGTTGCGTAGAAGAGACTATTGAGTTTTAGATACAAATATTACAAATGCCTCTTTACTTATAGCCCCTTAATTGCACATGAAGAATCATAATATGTCTAGTAGACAATGTATGAGTAAAACTTGTGATTGAATGTTTTTATTTGCATAGTTTTCTTCTGCTCTATATGTATAAAGACTTTAATATACTTTATATATTAAATAGAGACACAGTGTTTTGAATAAATCTTAAGTCGTCATATTACAAGATGTATGCTTAGCTACAATGTGGAATTAATTAATGTTCTGCCCAACAGAGACTAAACATCACCTTATGCAAGGAAACTTGAGCAACACAGATCAATTCCTTCAGAATAAACATGAAATCTAAACTTTTTTTATGTATAGTTTATCTTTTCTCAATTTATTCCAAAACCATAATATTTCAACCCTCACTCTCCAATTATTTTATAGATACTTTGCAATTAAAAGAAATCTGGATCTGTAAAAACATACACAATTTTATGAAAAAGAGGCAATTAATACCATAATATTAGTAAGTTAATTTTATGACTTTGCTATAGTGTGTATCAAATAACATTTGTTTCTTATAGATACTAGAAAAACCGAGTTTGTGTTGGTTTTATAAGTTCTTCTGTTGGAACAACCAAAAGGACATAAATCAGATTTCAGTTTTAGAACATTCTGCCAGAATGCATTTTGAGTTTTCAATCTCCGAAGTCTAAAAATGTTTTATTTTATAACCATCATTAAACAGCTGACCCAATATTTTGGGTTCACGACTACTAATGTTCAATTCCGTAGCCTTGTAATTTTGAACCCAATCCAAAAAAAACAAAGGAACTCCTGGATGTATTTAGAGAAATTTGCCTTTGCACAGGACTTTTTGATGAAACTAACCTGCATATGGATTGCATGGCGAAGAAAACCACGAAAACCTAGCTTGGTTAGCCTGATGGCAAGGGGACTCTAACCCATGATCTGTCTTACCACAGAGGATATTTTACGTCAACACTGTGGTCAGTGCAAGTAATTTCTCCATAAGTCTGCTGATGGAAAACTGATTAATTTCTCATATAATATAAAAGCTCTCTCTTGTATAATCTTCTCTATCGCACTGTAAGGGCAAGCCATTAAGCTTGTAAGGTCAAGCTTGCCTGTAAGAGCAAGCACTGCTTGTGCTGAAGTAGTTTACAAAGCCCCAGTAACAAGAATTAGGGCTTCATTTTAAAAAAAAATCAAGTTTTGAAATGTAAGTTTGAACAAGTAATCAAGACCTTGCAACAGTAGCAGATTAATGGCTTGACATATAAATTATATGACTATTAAAAAGTTTCTCTTATACAACCCCATTTCACTTCTTTTAATCACTGTTAGCCTATTTCAAGCTCCATCAATCACATTGTTTATGTCTCTGCCAATTGAGCGTTTATTCAAATTTCACTCCTAAATACACTGGTGGACAAAATTAAGACAACATCAGAATTGGACACAGCTTCAATGGGCTAATGTTCTCTTCACCGATGAGTCCAGATTCAGTCTACAATCTGATTCTGGACGGTTATTGATATGGAGGGAATCTGGAACCCGATACCATCCCAGCAACATTTTTGAAAGGTACCATTATGCTGGTGGAGGATTCATGGTTTGGGCAGGATCATGCAAGATACCCGCACACCACTCCATGTGTTTGACAATGGTTCCGTGAATGCCCAGAGGTACAGGCAGGAGGTCCTAGAGCACTATGTGCGTCTTTTCAGGGGCACTGTTGGCCCTGAGTTCATTTTTATGGACAACAATGCGTGACCACATAGGGCTCTCATGGTTGATGAGTATCTGGAAAGCGAGGATATTCAACGAATGGATTGGCCAGCCAAATCCCCTGACCTGAATCCTATTGAACATGCTTGGGATGCTCTTGGGAGAGCTATTGCAATGCGCCAACCTCCCCCAGAACCATTCTGGAGTTAAAATTTGCTTTGGTGGAAGAATGGGAGGGTCTTCCACAAGTCCTCCTTAACTCCCTTATTAACAACATGCATACTTGTTGTGCATGCTGTCTGTCAGGGGGGACCATACACCATACTAGAGGCAACACACACTGTACAAGCCTCACTTTTATTGTTATCTTTTATCCTTAAGTTCAGACTACATTGGATTTATTGGCAATAGGTCTTGCCAGAGAATGGCACTTTCATTTTCGTTTTGCATACTTTATTATCATGGAATAAGCTATATCCATACCAAATTTCATTTATTTATATTCAGTTTTTGAGATATTTGGGAAAATGTCTTCCATCTCTTAATTTTGTCCACCAGTGTAAATAGCTTCCTCTGCTTATCAGATACTAGCACCAATATACTTCCAAATCCATTTAAGTTGCTTGATGATACAGGGCAAAAGTTTGGTACATAATCTTGTCAATATTTACTTCTATTTGATTTTCTGTTGACCATTTAAATAAAACTTCTAAAGCCTAATTGATTCTAAGATTCTTTATTGGAGTGTTTTCTAGGTGCTGAAGTCTATAAGCCATCAGCATATAAAACCCTATTTCCTTTACTTCTTTTAATTTTCTCAGGAAGATAATTAATGTAAACATTAAAAAGTTTTGTGCTTATCACACTTACCTGCTATAGACCAAAATGAATTTGTTAATAACTTGAAGTTTCTAATCCATAAGAAACTGCATAAAATCTTTGAGTAATTGCAATTTTAATCCATTGAATCATTTTCCATTGATTTCCAGGGTTTTTAACTTAAAAATCAATTTAGTTCTCGGAATATGATCATATGCTGCTCTGAAATCAACAAAAACTGCCATTATAGTCTCACTTCTATCAAAACTATTTTTAATTGTTTATCACAATCTTATGACCTGTTGAATAATAGAATGATGAATTCTAAATCTATTTTATGTATCTGTCAAAAGATTATAATGTTCTAAATAGTAACTAAAGTATCTCATTAACCATTCTCTCCATTACCTTGGCCATAATGGAGTTAAGTGATATCAGTCTGTAACTATCATAATGGTTTCTCCTTATTTGCTATCGGAACGATAATAGATTTTCGCCTTGATACCCAGTACAAATTATAAGAAAGTTTAAAAAGCGTCAATAGAATATTCAAGATTGCTATATCCAAATGTTTCATAAATTCTGCATGAGTGCAGAATTTATGCAGGACCAGGACTATTCTTAACTTTTTGTTTCTCGATAACATAATTCAGTGCACTCATCCATAATTCCATACAACAAATACCTTCACCAACTGACTGATAACAATTAGTTAATCTTATCTTTTCAAAGTACTTTCTCTTTCTTTCATCTTTTTTTCTATTTCTCTGCATAAAATTTCACAAAAATCTCAGCAATATCTTCATCCTCTGACATTTGTCTATTGTTAAATATAATCGGTTCTTTTCTTTTCTCTTGAAACTTATTTGTCATAAATTTCTAACTTTTTTGCAATCAATGGTTGAAATAAAATCACTTCATGCATTTCTCTTTGATACATTAATATTCAATTTCAAGTCTCTCGCTAAGACTCACCAGGCCTTAACATTATCTTTTTTCCCATTGTTTCAACAAGTGCCCTAGTTCCGGAAAGCCTGTTTTTTTTCTTTCATTTTTTGGTCTGGTATACAAAATAATTTTACATGTCCCCTTTAAAATAAAATTGCAATTTTTTTTCATTAGATATGTATATAGTAGTTATTTTTAATCATAAAATTTACCCTTGAAAACATTGGTAGAAATCATAATTTAATATGATTATAAAAAGAGTTAAGATAAAAAATTATGAAAAAGAAAAATAATTGTTAGTAAAAAAAATAATTATAACAGAAACCTCTAAACTCTATAGTAAACCACATTTTTCTTTTAAAAAAATAAGCATTTAAAACAATCCAGAAAAAAAGAATGTACTGTATTATGTAAGTTCTATTATTTCTTCTTTTCACCTTACTTCCACCCAAAATTGATAACCATTATAAAATTTTTAAATTGATTTTTTTGCCTTAAATTTTGTTTCATATTAATTTAATGTATTCACTTTATTTTAGTTGAAGCATAAAAAAAATAATAACTGACGAGTGGAGTTCTGAAAATAAATGTTCATTTCAATTGCAAGTCATTCTTTTACAGTCATAAGTTTTCAGCTATTGACAAATCTACAAGATTGCAATTAAAATAAACTTTCTTAATGTACATCACTTGTTTTGAGATTACTTACTATCAGAAATTTAAATATTATGAAAAGATATTTATTACCTCACAAAAGAAGTTCCATTTAGGAAAGATAGTATTCTTTATAACCTGAGTTTTAAATTCTTGTACTCCAACTAAAATAAACAATTATATATATAAATATCATATTAGCAAAATAGAAACAAAGAGTTGCATTGTTATTTTACAATATAGTATCTTCATAATAAATATAAAAGCAAACAAATCTTAAAGTATTTATAAGTCTTAAATTATATAAAATGATCGTGCTAAACATGACTTACATAAAACTATGAAATTTAATTTACTACAAAAGTTCGTGTCTTTAAAATATGTACTGACAAATAAAACTACTATCAATTGTACTGTGTAAATTTGTACTAAAGTTAAAAAGAACTTGCTATAAATTTTAAAAAATTTACTAACCTGATATAATACAATATGGATCAGACTTTCCCATGCCTAGCACACCCACATCCGCCTTGATTAGATCCCGACCTTCAATAATATGTAAACGAAGAACTCCCTAAAATTTTAAATCAAAATCATAAACTTATACCATAACCAATACAAAAAAAGTCAAGTTTTGTTAACTTTTTTTTAAAAAAAATTTTAATTTTGTTCAAATTTCACTCAGCAACAGAGATCAAATTTACACTCAAAAATTAAAACAACAATAATGGTGATTATTTTTCATATAATTTACATCACTGCCATAAATGTAAAATTTTCTAAACAAGTTACATGATAGAAGGAATTACAAAAGTCAATATTTAATTACTTTTATTACAATAATTATTTGACTAAAGACATTTAACGTACATTATTTAAATTAGATCTTTACATTTTGCCATATGATACTCAATTGCTAAACAAGTGAAAGTTTAATACAGTTACACTATTTCATAATAGGAAGTATGTTTTGGAACATAAAAGGACTACGTGAATGCAAAAAAAAAAAAAGATACATACATGACTAAGTTATAAACAAATATTTTAAGAAAATACATACAGCTGGTGGTGAAAATTTCAATGACTTTAATGGAATATCTTGAATTAGTTGAACAGGGAATTTATTAGGTAAAACCATCATAGCAGCAACTTGTTCATTCACAGCAGTTCTAAGAACATCCCTAAAATTTATCAATCTATCTCAGTCAATTCTAATGTAATTAAAATAAATAAACAATAATCTATAAGAAAAACTGAAGAAAAAGTTTTAAGACTAAAGATTTAAGTTTTACGCATTAAATTTTTTTTCAAACTGTATACTACTTAAAACACTTTAGCATACATAATATCTTACACATTGAAAGAGAGAAAAAATAGAACATGTTTTGTCAGGTATAATGGATGAATATTTCATGTATAGAAAATTAATAATATTATTTGTGTGCAGCAAATCAAAGATAATATTTCCTTCATATATCCCTAGCAAACAAATTAAAGGACCTTTTTTTTTTCAATGTAAACAAAATGTTTCAAATTATATACTTTATGTACATGAAAAATTATTCAAATGATTCTTCATTAAGAATGTTTGATGATGTTATTATTAACTACAATAATTTCAACTTATTCATGTATAACTTATTTGTCATATTTTGTTGATTTAAAAATTTCATATTTAATCAGTAACCAAATAGGAATAAAAGTCAAATTTCTCTTCAAATTGTAATTGTACATAATTAAATCCTTTTTTGTTCTTTCAGCAACATTTTCCTCAACTGACATGCATGAAAAATGAAAATAATCTAAATACTTATAGAAAATAAAACTAGAATACTTATGATTTAGCAAACTAATAACAATTATTAGCTTTATATACTCAATAAAATATACAGCTCTATAAAACAGTATGAAACATGCACTACCATTAATGTGTAGTTTTATATTTTGTCTATTGAAAACACGTTATTGTACAACCATACATAGAATAATAACATACATCAATAAAGAAGTTATCATAATTTAATTAAATCTATTAACTTAGTTTTAGATTTCAGCTTTTTGGAAAATCAACTGATATTAAATATATCTTGTATCTAAGTCAATTTTTCAAACCCTCAAAATTTTACAAAAATCAGAGGCTTGATTTATACCCTGCAAATAAAGTCAGGCAATTGTTGATCATTATATTCAATGAATTATAAACAAAGATAGAAATGAATAACTCTGAATCAATTTACTCCGTTCAAAAACTACTTTTAATATATTATATATACAATAAATTTCGCATTTTCTCTTATCATATTTTCTTTACATATAAAGGTTTTTTTAGAAACAATGCTTTAAATTATGTTAAAAAAAATTAAGATTAAGAATTTATTTAAAAGCATTTTTAAAAAAATATAACACAATGAAAACTTTTGAAACACACCATAAAGCTAAAAATTTAAAGATTCCAAAAGATCACCTCTGTCAAATTTAATTACTGGTTGCTTTACAAAAGCTATTAATGATTCTTTTTTTAAGGGGACACCTCATAGAATCTTTATTTGAGGGCAAATATCCATAGAGAACAAGGTGAAATATTTTTAACTTGAAAAATTCTGTAAAACAAATGTTTTTTATGCTTGAATTTTAGAAATTTTCATGTTTGGTTTTTTTCAACAATCAACTTATGAACCAGACATACCAGAAATTTACAATCTTGTTATCAAAAAGAGAGAATCAACTTATACAATGGGATATACAGTAATTGGTAAATACTAAACACCTACCCTAATCCAGGCATATCCAATACGTTAGCAACATTTGTCAAGTTGAAATCTATTCTCTGAAAAAGAATTGCATGAAAACATTAAAAAATACACACAAAAACTTATGTCATGTATAAACAAATTTTAAAAGTATTTGTAAATGAAAGAAAGGTTTTTTACAGTTGATAATTTTACTAATTATCTTTAATTAATGTATTATTTAACTTGTTTTATCAAAGAATCCTAGACATAAAAAATAAGAAATCTAGCAACAATGAGAACTTTGATGTTTGTTTGAACAGAGTTAGGTTTTAATATGAATTAGATTGAGGCAAAAGTCATTCTGCACAATAAATTCAAGTTTTCAGTGCTATCCAGCTCTATATAAGGAATGCATAGTTGCTCCCCGTAAAAAATCAATTATTGGAAACACTATCTTCACTTACAGGTCTATTTAAGAAAAAGACAGTAACTCCACCAACAAGAGGAATAATTTTCACCAATGGTTTCATTACTACTCTTAACGTTCCATACATCTAAAAAGGAAATCATCTATTACTAATTATAGAAATATCAATTACTATAATCAAACAGGAAACGCCATAAATTAAAGAAAAAAAATTTAATTTACTTGAAGGCTCATAAAAAAAAACCTAATTGCTCATAAAAAAAAATACTAGAAATTAATAAAAAAATTTTAAAAACTGTATAGTTTTATCTGATTTATTTAGTAGTTTCTTGACTGAAAAACTTGCGATAAAGTTACTCTCTAGTTAATTGATTGTCAGCTTAGAAAAACTAAATAAAAAACTCTTGATCTGGGTCAATATTACAGAAAAGGGATTGTAGAGAGAATTTTGAGAATAATACTAGCTGAGAAAAAAATCTTTGAAATTCAAATAGAATTTATATTAATAAAATAACAATGAGCTAATTTATAATATCCTAAATGAAGCTTTTATTTATTTTATTTTTTAAATTTTTTATATTTATTTATTAATTTTTTATTTTATTTTTTTTTCAAGTCGGCAACATTTTGTTTTAGACAAGAAAGGAAACATGTAAGAGATACATTAGATAAAAGGGTAGTCAGGTTAGTATTTCCAAAGAAATAAAAATATTTATTTTCAAACTATACAAAAATCATAATAATAAACATTTTTATTGAAGTGTAACTCCCTAAAAATATTCACATATTTTAGATAAACAAGTATAGATAAAATAAATGCTTAGAGTTTATTACACAGCAGTGCGTTGAAAATACAAATTTGATGAAAGAAAACTTTATAAGTTAGAAAAATGTACTTTCAATGGCTAATTTATGCTATAAATCATAATTATCACTTGTTCAAGAAAAACATTTCATTATTATACAGTAAAATAAAAATAATAATTAATGTGAAATTCCTATATCCTCTTGAAGCCAGTTTTAACTTGTAATCTTTCTTTACAAAAAAATAAAAAATTAAAATTAGAATATTAAACTTCTAATTTTTAAATTTTAAAGAGAAAATTAAATTACAGTAATTTCCGGTAAATAGGCCGCACCGCCGTACTGGCCGCACCCGCAAAAAACATCGTTAAAAATTTCAATTTTCATCTTATAGGCCGCACCGTCGTAAAGGCCGCACTTTCGTTTTTTCGATCGATCATCGATTTTTATCAAATATCACATGTGTGAAAATACTCATAAAAAATAATAATCTTTAAAACATAAACTCTATACTTAGAAAAAAGTTATTGATAAATATTTTTTTTTATGTATACTCATTACATTATCATCATCATTTTTATGTATACTTATCATAAAAAAAAAAAGAAATTGAGAATGATCCTAAGTTAAGGATGTGTATGCGATAAAAAATAAACTAATCACAAAATAAATCAGCATTTATTTATTTATACTTTTCAAATATTTTTGAGCATATATCTATTCAAAACCATCGAAATCTGATTCTTCACTGCCGGATATTCAGCACTTAATCTGATCC